ATTCTGGTCAAGGGCATGTACCTTGGTTGCAAGCACATCCCCAGTAGGGGGTGCACAAGAGGCAGCTGATTGATGATTCTCTCTCATCAATGTTTCTAACTCTCTATCCTTCTCTCTTCCTCTCTGTAAAAAAAATAAATTAAAAAAAAATTAAAAAATTAGGAAAATAAAAAGAGGAAAGGGAAAGAATATATTTAATCTGTGGGCTCTGTTTAAAGGGGGAAAGGTGGAGTCCTATTTGACCTAAGGATCAGAGAAAGGGCAGGGAGGGCTCTTGCAGGTTGAAATTAGACAGCCTCATTTTTGCATTTAGTTAAGGCTTCCTAAGTGCTCTCTTAATTGCACTGATACCTTCTCTTATATTCTGTGGTATCACATTTCATATTCTAACTTATATTGTTATTCTTTAATTGAGGTGAAATTTACATAAAATTAACCATTTAAAAGTGAACAATTCAATGTTAATTACAATTCTGTGCATCCATCAACTCTTTAGTTCCAAAATATTTTCATTACCCCAAAACCCTGTTTCCATTAGTCACTCTCCATTTTCCCACCCTTCATCCCCTGGCAACCACCAATCTGCTTTCCACCTACATGAATTTACCTATTCTTGGACATATTATATGAATGAAATCATATATCTGGCCTTTTGTGTCTGGCTTCTTTAACTTAGCATAATGTTTTCAGGATTCATCCACATGGTAGCATGTATCAGTACTTCATTCCTTTTTACAATTTAACTAGAGGCTTGGTGCATGAAATTTGTGCATGGGGGAGGGGTTGTCTCTCAGCCCAGGCTGCACCCTCTCCAATCTTGGACCCCTCAAGGGATGTCCAACTGCATGTTTAAGCCCTATCCCAGTGGACATCCCTATCACAACCCAGGACTGCTGGCTCCCAACTGCTCATCTGCCTGCCTTCCTGATTGCCCCTAACCCTTCTTCCTGCCAGCCTGATTGATGTCTAACTGCTTCCCTGCCAGCCCATTTTTCCCCAACTTCCCTCCTCTGCTGGCCTGGTCACCTCTAACACCCTTCCCCTGCAGGGTTGATGGTCTTCAACTGCCCTCCTTGCAGGCCTAGTGCCTCCCAACTGCCCTCCCCTACTTGCCTGATCAGCCACAATTGACCTCCCTTGCAGACCTGGTCCCTCCCAACTGCCCTCCCCTGCTGGCCATCTTGTGGTGGCCATCTTGTGTCCACATGGGGGCAGCCATCTTTGACCACATGGGGACAGCCATCTTGTGTGTTGGAATGATGGTCAATCTGCATATTACTCTTTTATTAGATAGGATAATATTCTATTATATGCATGTACCTCAATTTGTTTATCCATTCTTCTATTGATGGACATTTGTGCTGTTTCAACTTTTGGCTATTATGAATAGTGCTAATATGAACATTTATGTCCTAATATTTATTTGTGCATTGAGTTTGTGTGTGTGTGTGTGTGTGTGTGTGTGCATGCATATATATGTGTATGTGTATCTACTTCCCCTGCCCCCCAACCCCTGATCACCTGGACTCTGAAATTCTGAATGGTTGGGACCATAAAAGGGTTTATCTTTCTTTTCCAAAGGCTACTGAGCTTTTCACTTAGTAGGTGTTCTACTAATGCCTATTAAAGTAAAGCAAACTTCACATGCCCATAATCACTTTTTGTATGTGTCAATGTTTTAAAATGTATTATGTATTCCTTTAAAAAATTCTTTATTGATTAAGGTTTCACATATTTGTCCTCAACCCATCATTCCAATCCCCCACCCCCTCCCCACTCATGCTCCCACCCCCCTATTGTCCTTATGGCTGGAACCACATGGTAAAACAGAGGCGCACAGGCTCTTTGTCATCATTACCTAAAATGAAAGGGCAGGCCAATAGACATTTTTCCATATAGAGTGATTTGAGCACCTTCAAATTGTTTTTGATTTTTCAATGCTTACATTGTATAAGTTGATAGTATAGTCTTGCTCTTAGACCCAGGCAAGAGGAATTTCTGTCCTGAGCTCCATACTTTAGAGTCCTCACTTTTGTCCTCTTCTAACCATGTCCATCCTTACAGGGCCAGGAGCTTAACCCATGGAAGAAGGGGTGTGCCCCTGCTAGCCCATGTTCCAGGTACCTGGCACCCCTTTATAGTTTCAAGTCTGTTGCCAGGGCCTGTGTGTTTCTCTTGGGGCTGTCCCTGGGAGGACTGACTACATTACTGAGGCCTGTGCTCCCAGGCCTAAGGGGTGGTAGTATATACCCAGAACTGAGGATGGGTCTGGTCTAGGTGATTGAGAAGGGGTACAACTCTTCCTACACCATTGGAGCAGGACTTACAGGAGTCTAAGAATTCAAAATCTCAACCTATCTTTTCAGGTGGTTATGAAGGTACATTTGTCATAAAGAAAATACAACTTACTTTACTTAATGGTTTATTTGTTCTTTTAAATATTTTTATGCATATGGGTATGTGGATCCCTAATTGAACTCTTTTACTGAACCCCACAAATTTTACAAATGCTTCAGGAGGGCCAGGTTCAAAAGCTGATCTATAACCCCTTTCCCTTGATTGCTCCATGTTACAAGTTGTTACCTGAGCACAGCAGGGCCCTTTACTTTTGATAGTAGCTCGTTCCAATAGCCCATATTGCTTTAGGACTTGATCCCAGTCCCTTGAGCCGGCTGGAGTACCACCATCTTGGCCCGCCCCCATACACACTCATCCCCATTAGCATTCTTTTTCTTACCAGTCTCTTTGCTTCCCAGGTGTTTACACAGATGAGAACCTCTTCAACACCACACTCCCATGTACAAATAGCCAACTAGAGGCCATCAGCTTGGTCAGGCACAACTTGGTTATGCCATACACAACTTCTTAAGATAATTTTGCCTCTCTGATAACCCTCTGGTCTGAACAGTCAGTATTTTACTTGATTTTCCTTCCCATGTGACATACAAAGATGACTACAGAACAAGCTTTATTTACTTTATTTGCTTTGCATATAGCCAAAATCAAGAATGCTAAAAATTTATTATCAAAATGTGCATGTAGGCATTAAAAAAAACTTAATATCTACTTTCAAACAGTTTTGTTATTACCTGTGGAAAAGAAATTGTTAATGGAATGTTCTTAGAGTAAGAATAACCTAATAGTGGTCCACCCTGAGAAAAGGGGGAAGGAAGGTATAGCAACTTATCTACATGATTACTTGGGTAAAGGGCATCTATCTTAATGAACTATTCACTATGGGAATACAAAGGAAATCAAACCAAATCAATCAAAAACTTAACATTATTAAAAGGGTAAAGATACAATACCAGAAAGATAGAAGTTTTATAGAGAAAATGCAAAATCCAGCATATGATTATACAATGTCACACTATACCATCAGCAAAACCAAGCACTGAAAGTGTTTAAATTAGCTCTAGCATCTCACTGCCCACCTGAATCTCTTTTCCATGAAATGATACCCCACTCAGAACTTAAAGGTGCAATTGTATCTATCCCTGCAATTCTGTTTATGCAAAGTAGCCCCAAGGTGGTAGAGGCAGACACAATGAAAGTTATACTATCATAAGACACTTCTGGGTCTCCTAAGAAAATGAGCTAGATACTGTGCAGGCATTCACATGGGGCTCTCCCTTAGTGTTTGGTATATTTGGGGAATAGAGTAGAAGGGAAGGGTGAGTGGCTCACTGGGGAGGTGAGGGCTATCAAACTTTTGAGATGTGTGTCTTCAGGAAAGAGGGCAGGAAGAGGCTGATTTAATCACTCAAGACTTCCAGTTACCAGAAAGTTAACTGTTCTATGGCAGTCATGCTTTGGGCTAAAATCTTGTGAAACAGAGTTTTCTGAGGGAAAGTTTTCTGAGGCTATGCAGAGGTCTCTACCTTAAATTTGGAGCCAGGGGGTAAGGCATCTCTCAAGTGGCCCCAGACTTCTTTCATGGAAGGCTTTTTGGCTAAAAGTATATGTTTTGGCATCTACAGAACTTGGAATTTCAACAGGGTCTTCAGTGCTTATAAAACAGGATATGGCCCTAGCCACTTTGGCTCAGTGGATAGAGTGTCTGCCTGCGGACTGAAGGGTCTCAGATTGAATTCCGGTCAAGGGCATGTATCTCGGTTGCAGGCTCCATCCCTTATCTAGTAGGAGCATATTCAGGAGGCAACCACCAATATCTCTTTCTCTCCCCCACCCCTTTTACTTTAAAAAAATCAATGGAAAATATCCTTGGGTGAGGATTGACAACAATAAAAACAGGATATGTATATCTAGTACACTTCTGAGCAATTGGAGAGGGTCAAGTGGTGTTGGGAAAAGCAGACAAAGACTGGTGAACTAACCATCCAGAGGAGCATGATAATCTCCAAGCAATATTCTGCCTCACTGGAAGATACTCAAGGCTGTCAGACCTGTGACAGACTGATATGGTGAATATGTAGAGAGAGCTCTGAATAAATTGCAGGCATTGGGATTTCCCAGGTATACAAAGAAGGTATTTTAAAGGGATGGGCTTTGCAAAATTTTTCTTGGAGACCAGGATTTTCACTTCCACCACCTTTTCTAGGGGCCTTTGCAAAGCTTGGAGCAGCAACCCAAAACTAAAGCACTTAATTAGGCTCAGAAACCTAAAAGCCAATCGTTGGGCCAAATCATCTGGACATTTCCATTAGAATTAATTTATTTGATCAAGGGAAATGACCCCTATCTTAGTTGTTCCAACAAAATGTTTTTACTTTTGCCCAACGTTAAAGATTTCAAAATTCTACGTTTTACATAGTTTTTATAGAGGAAATGCTGGGTTTTCAGATGCTGGCAATGACTGTAACTAAACATTAGGCATTTGTGGCATTTGTTTCCCTCGCATAATTATTAGTTTTAATACCCGTTATAAGGCTTTTTTGCTTATCAAAAAATTGTTACATTTCTAAGTAATTCAGTGCATAGCATTAATAAAGCTCTTGGCAATTATCATTTGAAATGCTGATACTCCACCCAGGAGCTACTTATTGCATGGTTTCGGTTATTTGGCTCCATGCTTTGGCTTTCTTCTTGGCCATGGAGAACCAGATTGGCTCATCTGGCTCTTTGAACATGGCTGGGTGAGCTGAAGATTGTCTGGTTTCTTTTCTCATGGCAGGCATTTGAATTATCTTCTCATTTTCATATCCTATTGGAACCACTGCAAATAATACATAAGCAGTAAGAAGACCCAGAGGTACTAAGCTATGTTTAAAGAATACAATAAAATTTTCCTTATTTCATGTTTATTCTGTCTTCTAAAACTTAATGCATGGACAATGCCATGGGTGGTATGGCAAAAGGGTAAAATCAATATGGTGATGGCACAGGGATGTGGACAAGGGAAGGTCTGAGAGAAAATGCTTACTTTACAGCTGTAACTGCCAATGTCTGGGTGGTTATTACTGTATTGGCTTATACTTTTGAATTGAGATCAGAGAGAAATCATATTATATGGTATCTTCAGTTTTTTTAATTTCTAGTATTATTTTTCTTTCGTTAATCCATGATGTTGTGTAACATAAATGATGACAAAGTAGCTCCACCTGGTAAATAACACTTTACCAACTACTCTAACCAAGCAGACTTACTTCCCTATTCCCCAATTCTACTCCTTTCTTCATCCTGTTTTATGGTTGATGAACTTAGTGGCTTAGACTCAATCAATAGTTCTCAGGCTACACATTAGAATTTCCTAGAGCTTTCTAAATATACAAAGTCCCAGCCCTGGCCAGTGTGGTTCAGTTAATTGGGCATCGTTCTGTGCACCAAAGGGTTGCCAGTTCAATTCTTGGTCAGGGCACATGCTTAGGATGCTGGCTTAATCCATGGTAGGAGCATGCAGGAGGTAGCTGATTGATGCTGCATTCTCATGTTGATGTTTCTCTCTCTCTCTCTCTCTCTCTCTCTCTCTCTCTCTCTCTCTCTCTCAACTATTCTTTAAAAATAAATAAATAAAAATACCAAAGTTTATGTCATTTCCTGAACTAACTGAATTAGGATTTCTGTAAATGGAGCCAGGAACATCTGTAATTTTTTTTAAAAGCTTACCAGGTGATTCTAAAACAGTGAGTTGAAAACCACTTGGTAGGAGTATAGTGCCCATGAGACTATTAATATCTATGAGCAGGTCAGGTGCTACTATTTTCTGGCCAGACAATGGGTTACCAAATTCCTAGTCTAATTCTTCATGAGGGGGACTAAGGGAAATGACAAATATGATTCAATATAAATTCATTGTCCTGGGCCCCTGCTCCTGCTGAAAAAAACAAACAAACAACAATCCTCTGGCATATAACTCTGCTGATAAAATCACACTCTATTCTATTCCAACATAACTTTTTCCCCCACTTTCAACATTTCCCCACTTCTCATACCTCTGCTTAGAAGATAGAGGGGCTAAAACAACCCTTTAAAAATTCAATACCATTGAGTCTTTATAATGGAGTATTCCTAATAGTTTCATTGTAAACAGAGAAGGTGAGAACACACTGCTTTGCTATGAACTGAAAGGTAACTTGGTTCTTTCCTCTTAAATACTAGCCTCAGGAACATTTTAGTACATGATCATAATTTTGCACCTACACAATTTCCTCAGTAGAGTAAAAAAAAATGGAAGCTACTCTGAAAGTTACACACTGAACTTATAACAGTGATAATGATTGGATTTTCCTAAAACAAATTAATATCTGTATCTAATGGGAGAGCCATGAGAGACTCATGAAACTGATTTGGAGTTGGGGGTGGGAAGATATATATTGTCAGAGCTTGAAAATCCAAGAGTTTCACAGCATTCTGCCAGGGATGTTTAGGGTGGGAGGTTTTAGATGTGTGTTTTTACCTGTTTTGGTAGAGACATGTATCTTAATCTGTGCCGTCTTCTGCTGTCTATTGGTATTGGAAGTAGAAATCTCTCTTTGTTGGCTTCGTTTTGCAAGGTCAGCTCCCTTTAATACAAAAATAAAAACAGGAAGCTTGTAAGGCCTAACATAAAAACAGCAAATTACTTATTCAGATGATCACAAGGTATAAGCCCTGTCCTGGGTATTATGAGGTCAAAATTAATAAAATGGTAAGATATGGAGTGATAGATATAGAAAAAGATAAGGAAAGAAATAGCAGTGAGAGCCCCCTTGGTTCAGAATTTAGGTTCACAAAATCTAAGCTGGTTCAAGTTTACTACTTTTCAGATCTAGAAAAAAGGTTGTCTTAATCATACAAATAGTATAAACAGGATGACATGAGAATTATTAATCTTGAGAACTACCTTTTCCCTAGCACTTGACAGCAAGGTAGCAGAATGTGGTGGTTATAATAAAGTTTTATCAATTAACTGAAGTGAGTTCTATAGGATTTCTATTGAGCAAAACTTGTTGACATCCTTGCAAGTCAGATATATAGAAAACAATATAACCATAGGTCTTTTCAAACTTGTACAGTTTAAGCTTTTCAAATGAACCTCTCCATAGTGATCTAAATTCTAAATTAATGTGTGTGTGTGTGTGTGTGTGTCTGTGTGTGTCTAAAATATCTGTAAGGATAGTTCTTCATCTTTCACCCCATTGATTAAAAAAAGCTTTCATCCCATCATAAGGATTTTTTATGACTTACTCCTTATTTCTCAACCAATTTCATGGAATCTGCTTTAGAATGTTTAGGACAGGATTTGATTTATAGAATCTTTTCACATGCATTACTTTCATACACTCTTTAAGAGCACAAAGTGGGGCACATTTGTTTGAGTACAAAGCAAGTCTTTTCCTTTCCAGAGTCTTGATTAATGCAACCAAAGAAGTGGGAAGCTGCATGCCTGAAAAAGATTCCAATGCAACCCTTGGGAGTGTTTTGTGGGCTGCCCCAGGTCCTACCTCATTTCTAGGCACCTTAGTGCCAGCCTTTGCTCCAGCTTTATTCTTGGTTTTCAGCTCTTTTGTAGGAACCTGGGTCGGGGAATTCTTCTGCTTCTCCTTGACCATGGTTATCCAAGGTGGCTCTGAGGTGGCAGAACCTGACTGTTTACCAGGAGCCTTTCCTGAGAAGGGAATTAAAGGAGTTAGAACTGAAGCAAGGCAGACAGAGTCTTGAGTGCCTATCCAGGCTGGGTCCTACCCATAATAATGTTCCAATGGGATCCTTGTGAATTGCCCAATGGAAATAAATAGATATCACATAAAGAAGAACCCCCTTCTTTTGTACCCTCCCACAACCTAGTAAGGCCGGAGTTCTTTGGGTAGATAAGAAGCTGTACTTTGAAGTTTACATACTGTTCTCTTACTGGTACCTTTCCCTTCCTTGTCCATCCCTCTGCCTATCTCTAAATCATGATAGGACAAAGGTGGCCAGGTGGACTGAAAAAATTCCTAGGAGGCCAGAGGTTCAGGCCATTAGCCATTAATGTCATTCCTCTAATTCCAAGGAAATGCTTACAGTATTTGTTACTTTATAGTTCCTCATGCAAGTGTGAGGGTACATGGGTGTGGTTATAGGCATATACAAGACTATGTGATGGTGAGTCTGAAGATGCAAAGACTTTGTGAGAGATTAGTGTTCAAAAGATCACCTAGTTCTGGATTCTTAGACATTTCAGATTAGGGAAGAAGCTCTGGAAGTACAATCATTTACAGTAAATTAAGATTTCAAGCTGAGAGTCTGAACATAATGCTCTATTAATGAGCTGTCTTTAAAAATCCACATGATATTGGGGGAAGCATAATACATATAAAAGTGTTTTTGGGAAAATCATAACATTTCATCCAAATGTAAAGTGTACAGAGGGTGGAAGAGCAGGAATGGGATGATGGTCATGTGTCCATTAGAGAATCCCTTAATCTAGAATGGAGCACTATCCTGCCCCCAAATCAACAAGACAACCCTATCAAAGAAAAAACTGATCAGGCAAGGCTATAACAGGTTTCTCCTCGTTCAAGACTTTGATTTACAGTTCTTCCCTCCACTTGGTACCTAACTGCCATCTGGAAAGATAGTCTCACCTGGGATCTTGTAATCAGGTTTCTTCTTGGGCATGCTGTCAGATTTGGGCTTGCTCTTTTGCTTCTCTGCAACATCAGATGTTGTGGTAAGGTTCTTGGTGATGCCCAGGAGCCCCTGGGAAGCACTTATGATTTGTGGTTCTCTATCTGTGTAAGATGAAACTGGGCCTACGGAGAGTGAAGGAAGCATGGTAGAATTGTTTTGTTCATTACTCTTGTACTTCTGTGAGGAAGGGATCCTTTTCAGTCGAACTCCAAAGAGGTTTTCAACATCAGCCTCACTGGTGGATAAATTTGAATAGTCGTTATTTTGATCACTACTCTCAAGAACATCCTCCTTAGAGTAAGTGTCCCCAGAAGTGATTGGTGGCCAGGCAGGAGCAAGGGTGAACTTCACAGATTTGGTAGCAGGAGTTGAGATGTCCTTGAAGAGATCTTCAGAATCTTGGCTGTGTCCCCTAGTTTTGCTTGGGAGGGACCAGCTGCTAGGATTGCTCTCGGAAATAGCTCCCTTGGCAGCAGCACTCGTGGAACTTGAATAAACTTGGTGCTTATATTGAGGTTCTGTAAAAGCCTGGAAAGGGTGTCTGGCAGGCAAACGATTCTCAGCACTACTCCTCTCTACAGGTACACTCACTGAGCCTGTTGAAGAAATCTGTGGCTGGAATTCAGCCCCATCCTCAGCTTGGATAGGGCATTTGGAAGGCAGCTGCTCTTCAGAACTCTTCCATTCTTTAAGAGAGCTCTCAGAAACTGAGGATACTTCTTGCTCATACTTAAGCTTCCCCCATGCCTGGGAAAGGTATCCAGGAAGCAGCTGCTCTTGAGGATAGCTACACTTAACAGGAGCATTTTCTGAATATGAGAAAACTCCTTGTGGGTATTCAGGCTTCCCTAAGGACTGTGAAGGGCATTTCGTAGGCAGCAGCTTTGAAGAAATGCCTCCCTCGATATCAGCACTCTCACAACCTGAGAAAACTTGGTGCTCAACTGTAGACCTCAACAAATATTTGGAAGGTTGATTAGAAGACAGAGGATCCACATAAACCTGCTCCTCCACATTAGGGCTCTCTGAAAAGACATGCTGTGCCATAAATTTCACAAATGACTGAGAAGGACATTTGGTATGCAGTGACTTCTTAGACATGCTTCCTTCAACAGCAGGGTTCTCTGTATGTAAGGATATTTCTTGAATGTTAGGCTTTGAGAAGTGGGTGGGATATTCGATAGGCAGTGGCCTCTCAGAAATGCACCCAACAGCAGCATTCTCAGAAGTTGGCATCATTTTCTGGATTTTATGTCTCACAATGGACCAATGTCTGGGAGGCAGCTGCTCTGTAGAACTGTCTCCCTCAATGGCAACACTCTTTGGACCTGCAGAGGTTGGTTGTTTGACTACTGATTTCATCTGATGCTGTGAAGGCTTTCTGGGAGGCAGAGTCTCTGGACCTACAAAGGTTTTTTGCTCAAATTTAGGGCTCTCCCAGGGCTGCAAAGTATATCGAGAAGGCTTCCGCTGCACAAGACCACTCCATTCTTTAAGAGCACTTATCGAACCTGAGACTTCTTGCTCAGCAACTGGTCTTCTTAGGGACTGATAAAGCATTTTGGGAGGTAGTGGCTCTCTGGGATTTCCCCACTCCACAGCAGTGCTCTCTGGACTTGCAGATGGTTGTTGTTCAAAGCTGGTGATCACCCAGGAGCCCTTTGTGTGTCTGGGAGCCACCACAGGATGACTCCATCCTGTGGACACACTCCCTGGGTCACTGGAAATAATCTGTGGCTGACCAGGGAAGTTTGGATACAGGGGTTCCACAAATATGTCCTTATTTCTAGCAGCGTTCTCTGAGAATACATGCTTGTCTTGAGGATTTGTTAAGCAATCAGGGAATTTTGACTCCATTAAAATGATCCTACCAGCACCCTCTGAACTTAAGAACACACTTTGTTCAACTGTTGGGTTCATCATGGGCTGGGCTAAAATGTTAGGAGAAGGAGGCTCCATAGAAATGCTCCTCTTAACAGCTGTGCTCTCTGGACCTGCAGAGATTTCTTGTGCAGCTATTGGTTTCACTGGAAGCTGAGAATTATTTCTTGAAGGCTTCAGATCCGTAGAAGTGGTCCCTTCAATAATAGCAATTTCTGGGCTTGAGGAGATTGGTTGCTCAATTTTATGCTTCATTAGGCGCCTTGAATGCTTTCTGGGAGGCAGTGGCTCCATAAAAATGCCCCACTCAGGAGCAATACTTGCTTGACCTGCAGAGGCTTGTTCCTCAGATTTAGGGCTCAGCCAGGAATGGAAAAAGTTCATGGGAGGTGTTGACATCCATTCTGAAAAAGCATTCCCTGAATCTGAGGAGAGTTGCTGCTGAACAGATGGCTTTACAGAAGGCTGAGGAAGGTTTCTGGGAGGAGTCTGCTCCATAGATACACCTGACTCCTGAAGTGTGTTCTTTGAAACCAAGATTTCCTTTTGGGCTGTGGGCATCTTCAACACCGGGGAAGGATGTTTGGGAGGCATATCTCCCTTGGAACTGCTCAAATCCTTAGGATTACTGTATTTTGCAGAATTACTATTTGATTCTGAGGGCACTTTGTCCTCAGGCTCCTCCAAAGCCTGGGAAGCACATCTGGCAGCCAGCTGCTCATAAGAATTGCACAAGTTCCCAACAACACTGTTTGAATTTGGGAAGGCTTCTTGATCATCTTTCGACTTCACAGGCTGGAATGAATATTTGGGATCCGGCTCCTGTTCAGAACCACTGCCCTTCTCTGAAGAAGCACTCTCTAAATCTGAGAGCAATTCTTCATCTTTGGGCTTCCTCGAAGATTGGGAAACGTATCCAGGCGTCAACTGTTGATCAGAATCACTTTCCACCTCTGAAATACTGTCTGAATCTAAGAAGGCTCCTTCAGCTTCCGGCTTCCCCAAAGATTGGGAAAGACTTCTGGGAGGCATCCTCTCTACAGAAATTCCTCCCTCTATCAAAGCACATGCCTTATCCGAAACACTTGTTGAAAAGGCCTGGATGACATTTCCAGAAGGCTTTTCTTTGCAGATGGTTGAGCTATCCTGAGCCGACTTCATTTCAAATTGGTCACTTTTTGAATCAAAGCTGGAAGCTTCTTCGTCTTCTGACTGAATATGAGAGGGATCTATATGCACCTGAGCCTCCCCTGTCACTGAGAATATGGTATCTTCTTGGCTTTTAGAAGAGTTTTCCACCATTGATGAAAGAGAAGTTATGTCATCTGACTTCTTAGTTCCAGAAGCCCCATCTTCAAGGTATTGTGATGGACCACTAGCCATGGACTCTTTCCTGTCATTAGGTCTGATATATGACATTGATGCTTTTCTGGTTTTAAAATCTAAACCAGTCAGTCTCTTTCTCGTGTCATTTTCATCTGAAAACAACTCCTGAGGAGTAATATTTTCTACTTGTAGAGCTCTGGGCTGCTTCATGACTTGTGTCTCCAAGGAAAAGGGACAGAAAGGGCTATCCCTGGCAATCTTGTCGACAGATGGGTACCCAGCTCTATTACCTAAGCCATGCCCTCGACTAGGTTGTTTAAAGCTTCTTCCTTTGGCTCCACACTCATTCTTTTCTGAAACACTTGCTTCTTTTTTTCCACGTCGTTTTCCATATGCTGCCGAACATGAGTAGTCCTGACTCTCAGCAGCATCTGCATTTGCAGCCTGGTCTGTTGTCTTATAAATCTCAGTTTTGATGCTCTGTTCCTGACTTGAGGGACCTGTACCAGATAGAAATAAGAAAAAGAAAAATATATGTGTTTTTGACTTCCTAAAATAAGAACAATTTGCCTTGGCCTAATGGGTATCTATTTGGTATTGAATTTTCTAGCATGAAGAAGTAACTATTCAGAAGCTAGAGTAACTGGTCACTAAAAGTGAAGTAAAATCCCAATTTTATGAATTGATTCAAAGGTTGGCTCATTACCATTATATCAAGAGACTTGCCCACCATTAGCAGTGAGACACATCAAAAAACAAGTTTTGAACCTGCGGCAATGATTATCTTTTAGGAAACCAACTGAGGCAGGGCAAAGGGAAATTTTACTTCCTAATTAGTATTTGTATTTTCTACTTAATTTTCATATAATATGCAGGTAATGCTTTATTATTATTATTATTATTATTATTATTATTATTTTTGGAAAGCTGTGAGCAGGGGTTATTCGGAGGTAAATTTATAGCTCCCTTTTCTTCTGTTTCTTACTCTCTTGGTTTTTGTTTGTAAATCCTCACCTGAGGACATTTTCATTGATTTTTTTTTTGAGAGAGAGAGAGAGAGAGAGAGAGAGAGAGAGAGAGAGAGAGAGAGAATAAAGGGACATTGATTGGTTGCCTCCAGCATGCATCCTGACCAGGGCCAGAAATCAAACCTCCAATCTAGGCATATGTCCTGACCGGGAATGGAACCCAGGACCTTTCAATGGATAGAACAACACTCCTACCAACTGAGCCACACCAGTCAGGGCTACTCCCTTGTATTAAATTAATCTGACATAATATACATGCAAAGAAATTCTTGCAAGCCTTAATTGCATTAGTCCACAGGCTTCAGGTCAAGCACAATGCAACAGTTGTACAGATCTCTCCTCTCTCTATTCTTTTAAAATATGTTTTTATTGATTTTTAGAGAGAGGGATAAAGAGATAGAAACATCAACTAGATGAGAAACATCATCAATCTGCTGCCTCCTGCACATCCCCTACTGGGAATTGAGCCTGCAATCTGGGCATGTGCACTGACTGAGAATAGAACCTGTGACCTCTTGGTTCCTGGGTCAATGCTTAACCATTGAACTACACCAGCTGAGCTCCTCACTGTATTTTTCTTTACTAAGGCACTCAGCTTGATGCCCATGTGGAAGGGCCCTCACTGCCTTCCCTCCCCCATCATATACTGCATCCCTAGCTCCACCTGTTGGCTTCATATCCAGCATACAGCACTGAGGGTAACTGGATGCACACCAAACTATTCCCATTATGTGGAAATACAATCAGTATCTGCCCCCATGGACACTGAATCAGTTCTATCCTCTGTGCATAAAAGGACAAATATTAAAAGTAAATATAAAAAAAACAATAAAAGGAAAGTAAAAATGAATTACTAATTTCTTTCTCTCTGTTTCTCTCCGCAGAACAATTTTGTTAGTTTTCATAAAAAATTTTGTTTAGGAATATCCTATCATTGAACTCTTTTGTGGAAAAACATGAAATAATTGTTTGACTTAATTTATGGAACTGGGGTTTTGTTTTATCAAGTATTGCTTGAAATTAGGTTGCCATCAGCTGGAGCCAACATCCACATATACACACAGAGAGATTTTCACTCCCATGGTATTATTTGGGGATTTGATGGGTGTCAGCTATAAAAGACATCTGTCTGCATCTGCCCTAGCCCTCTTAGCCCATGGATATGGAAACTGGTCTCACTGTTAATGCAAGACCTTTTCTCTCTACAGCAGTGGTTCCCAACCTTTTTTTGGCCATGCCCCACCTAGGCATCTCTAAAATCCCCGTGACATATAATTTTTATTATTCAAAAAGTGAACTTCTATTCATGTGGAGGAAGTCTATAAGGCCGTTAACTTGGTCTAAACAAGCTTCCAAAGAACATGACATCTATGAAAGAGAAAAATAAAAGAACAGTTGAAGTACTGAGGAAGAAATCATTAAGAAATTGTTTAAAATAATAATAATATGAAGTGATATGAAAAAATAGCAAATAAAGTTTCAAAACATACAATAGAGAACTGAAATGCATAAATATGTCACAATATATATTTATATACTGCGTATGAAGCTCCTAGAACCATAAGAAATGAAAATGTTCACTGTTAATAACTCATTCTTGAATTTCCCCTCTTAAAAATCAAATTGTCCCCTTTAAAATCAAATTGCCCCCCTGTGGGGCATGTACCCACGTTGAGAACCACTCCTCTACAGGAAGAGAAAAGCAACTTTAAAACACTAGTTTTGGGCCTGGCTGACATAGTTCAGTGGTTGAGAATCAATCTATAAACCAGGAGGTCGTAGCTCAATTCCCAGTCAGGACACATGCCTAGGTTGCAGGTTCGATTCCCAGTGTGAGGAGTGCAGAAGGTAATCAATCAGTGATTCTCTCTTATTATTGATGTTTCTATCTCTCTCTCCCTCTTTTCCTCTCTGAAATCAATAAAAATATTTTTTTAAAAACTAGTTTTAGGCCAATTCTATAATTATTATCTGGTTCTGTTGCTGAGGGGGAATGTTAAGGGAAATTATTGGCTGCTCTCAAATATCTGGGCTCACTAAGAAACTCAGCATGTAGAGTTAGAGAGGATTGAAGGAACGCACAAACACAAAACACCTCTGGTTGTAAATTCATTTAGACAAAAGAAGGATCAGTATGAGCCTTTACCTAAATCCCCTGCAAGTGGCAATTGTATTAAGCAGTAGATGGAGAAACCTGGACCACATTAGTATGCATCTTAAATTGAAAGCTCTCTGAGGACCATGGACAGCTGGCCTGGGTAACTCCCATCACATAGCACTGTGCAATTAAGCTCATAGTACATGATTCTGGGTGAGGGTGAAGTGTGCCAACCTGCAATGTCTTTGAGCTTCTTTTGGGTAACTGCTTTTGGTTTGGTGTTCTCTCCAGAAACCAGTGGAAGGCCTGGATCCTCCTGCTTTGACTTCATCTAAAAGAGAGAAGAAAGAGCTCGAATCAGACTAAAGTGCTCACCCATCCCTGCATGGTTGCCAAAGGGGGAAGCGGGGATCAGAAAAAAAAAAATATCTCTGATATCCAAATGGCTCTGATGGGAACACAACAATACCATTAACAATGAAAATTATTTCCAATGGCATTCATCACCTGGTGATTATTTTACCTATTAGAAGTGGTTCACCTACATTTGAAGCTTATAATCTCTGAGAGATATGCTACAGAGAACTTTCTAAAATACCCCGGAAACCACTGAAACACACTGCTGGGCAATAAATCTGAAAATGGGGTGCTGTGCCTGACAACAATCATATTCTTGGCAACATTGAAATTATTAAATTTGCTTCATCACACCTGGGAGCCAAATTCAAATCCTGTTTGGCTTTTTCATCCCAAAGGAATTTAGTGAGAACATGAATTATGTCTTTCCAGCTCAAATGAAGAAAGAGGATCAGGGTTTTGTTGGGAAGGAAGAAAGAAAAAAATGTTCAGCATTTATACTGAAGGGGTTAAAATTGGTTGAGAATAAACGAGGTTTTCAGATAATTACAGTGCAGCTGTAGACCTGTCAGAGTAGTGTCAGGATTTGCTTAACATAAGCCTTTATGACATGCATCTAAAGACAAAAATACAACTTTTTATGTTCCCACTTGACATGCCTATTCAGGCGCAGCTCAAAATTACTTCTGAGTAAATGTGGTCAGAGAGACCTGGGTTCAAATCTCTGCTCCATCATTTGCACTCTATAGATCCCTGGACAAGTTATTATCTAAATCTCCGTGTCCACATCTATAAATTAGAGATAAAGGAAACCTCCTATGGGACTTGAAGACCTAAGAAATTCTAAAGCAGAGAGTAAGTGGCAGCAGTTTCTGTGTCATATGTGATCCTGTACCCTTTTATGTTCATTTGAGTATCAGGTAGAAAGTCACAAGGAAGAAGTAGATGTTCTAGCCTTTTAAAAGAGTAATACCCAGGTCTTTCCTCAATTAGGTGATGCAGAAGGAAGTCAGAAGGGTCACACTAAGTTTCCCTTAACCAACATTCCCCATCTCCCAGGTTTGTGAAGTGTCAAGATGATAATGCATATACAGGGTTTAGTGCATAGAAATTGGTTATCTTCTGCTTGACGCTGAACCAAGGAAATTCTCTCAGGTCCACCAGAGGCCCAGGGGGACCTGCTACCCTGCCTACTATTCTTTCAAGTTGTATTTGTTCTTTTTCTAAAGCTAAATTGAGATGTCTAATCAAGAAGCAACATGGTGGCGTAAAAAGAGTACTGGATTGGAAATCAAAAGACTAGGTTCTGGCCTTAGATCTGCCACCAATAAGGTGTTTGACCTTGGGCAATTATTTGTCCTTTAATTTCCTTCCTGTAAAAAACTAAAACTATGAAATCACTTAGACTCTTTCAGCTTTGATTTACAGCCCTTTACTTATAGCCCACAGTCACTGAGAAATTAGGTGTTTGACCTAAGTGAATCAATCTTCCAGCTAACTGACATATCCCTATAAGCATTACTATATTTTAATTCTTAGCTTTTAGTAAAAATCTTTCCCAAAGACATTACTTTCCTACCTTCCTAAACAGAGATGATGGAACATGGTTTAACTTTTCTTGATGACTTGGGCAAATAATGAACATGACCTATTACATTGGATTATGATACAGTGTGGCCCTGAGGGACTTATAAAGGTGGGCAAGGTTCTTGATCCCTGTACTAAATGGCCCCTCTCTGCTATCAATTGTTACTTTTTCTTACTGTCAGATCTCTGAATCTGACCTGTGGCCATGTTTTTAACAGAATTGGCTCACTAAGTGTAGCTCTACCTGCTTGAAAGTCATAAAACAGTAATTTGTGACATCAATGTGATACTGAGAGATCTTTGGGGGTTTAGGTTAATAGATGAGTTTTGAATGCTTGGAGTTGTCCCAATGAGTGGAACAGTGCTGCAATTTGTAACACATAGGTCTTACTTGATTAATAATTAAAAGAAACATAATTTTGGGCTATGGTTGAATACCCTCTACAAAGAGGGTTGAGTGAATTCCTGATGCTAATGCTAATACAACAAGCAGTTTCTAGGAATTTAGGTTATTGCTTCTATTTTCTTCAGTCTCTTTTATGTAAGTTCCACATGCATAGAACATCTCAATCACTAGATTTAAGTTTGGTCACCTCTCTGGGAGTGTCAATCCTGGGACAGTGCCCTCGACTTTACCACCCCAATTTAGGCTATGGATCCTCCAAATAATACCACTTCCCTAGGTGCAGTTTGCAAAGTTTGGAACTCATCCTTAATCACATAGGAGTTTATTCCCAGGCCTCTTGAAAGACTTACAGTCGCTTGAAGGTACTTCTTTTGTTTTCGGGGGTTTAAAGCCATCTTGTGTCGAGCAGCTGAAGAATCCAAACAGCCCTGGGAGGTAGCTGGGGTGCTGAAACTAACGGATAGCTGGGGGCTGCTGGGAGAGGTGAGCGTGGCAATTGTTGTCAAGGACTGTGTACGCATGGGTATGGATGGGGGCTCAAAGGAGCTCTGAAGAAAGTGGAAGAAAAGAAACGAGTCAATTCTGTACGCTATCACTGGTCTCCAAAGTTGGACATCCCTCTGGCTGAAGAATTCCTAAAGAAACCCTTCATAAACAATTGTCCCTTTTTACTACAGTAATAATTGACACTTCAGGTCAATAGGCTCATTAGTGGCAAGGGACACAATTTCTGATTGTTTCCTGGCAGGTGAAAACAAGAAACAAGAAGTTCACATTGCTTCTCTGCTTAGAAAGTATTCAGTGGCTCCTCTTTGCCCTTGGGATAGGAGCCCAACCACTTAATGGAGTTTACAAGGTGACAGGGTATGCATGTTCTCTTGTCCTGTGCTCCTATTTTATTAACAGGAGGGGCTGATTGGGATGAAGGCACAATCTGTGTCAGTAAAACCCATCAGCATTCTGTGTCAGTAAAACCCATCAGCATTCATTTCTCTATAAGAGGGCTCATTGGATGCCGAAACTGGTTTGGCTCAGTGGATAGAGCATAGCCTGTGGACTGAAAGGTCTCAGGTTCGATTCCAGTCAAGGGCATGTACCTTGGTTGCGGGCAAATCCCCAGGGGGAGTGTGCAGGAGGCAGCTGATTGATGTTTCTAACTATCTCTCTCAATTCCCCTCTGTAAAAAATCAATAAAATATTTTTTTTAAAAAAAGAGGGCTCAGTGGAGGGAAGAAAATCAGATTGGAAGAGGGCTTGCCTGTAAGCTAAGTTTACATAAACAACACACCACCTTTACTTATATTACTGTTCGTGGATACAAGACTAATGGGAACACCCTAAGAAACTGAGTGCTCCCACCCCCAATGGTGTGGATATGGAGCATGCCACCTTGTCCTCATTATGTCTGGCTTCCACCTCTGCAAACTATCTGATCCTGGAGCTCCCAGTTGGGTTTCTCTATAGGATCTTCAAAAAAGTATCCCCTGGGATTCCTGACATAGCATTTTTCACACCTCAAAAATACACCCCAGAGAACCTCTTGTTCCTAAGAATCTCCATATATTTGTGTTAGCAGAAGCCCCTTTAAAGATCAGGTGCTTAACCACCAGCTCCCTTAAAACAGGAACCAGAAATATCTGAAATCCCTTTGGGAAGTAGGGCTCTTTCTAAGGCCCTACCTTTTCCCTCAGCCATATTGGTTAGGAGAAACCTAGAAAAGTTACCACAGGAGCCAACCATAGGATTTTATGAGATATTCAGGAAAGCAAAATAAACTCTTTTTTGGCAGGTTTCTGAAAGAAAACTGAGGGAAGGAAAGGGGATTCCTTTCTCTACTTTTCCTTCCCCACACCTCCTCCCAACCTGCATGCTGAGAACCAACACACCCTCTATGTACCCAATGTCAAATGTTTTCATTCTTTCTCCTGTGTTTTTGAGGGAAGTTGGCACAGACAACCTCTGGTTAACAGCTAGAGTTAAATAAGGTCCTTTCATCTCAACATCTGTGAGATGTGCCAGGCCTGGTGCCTACTAACCTAAAATCTTTCTGGGGGAGGAATCAGGATTAGGCCTTAGGCTAGGGGAAGAGGTCTGTAGCACTGGTTGATAGGGGTGCTGGACACTCCTTTGTGGTTAATTGGAGTAATGCTGCTCTTTGGAAAAATAAAATACATTTTAGTATTTTCCTCCTTCTGTCATGTTTCTAGACCCAGTAAAATAATATAGTTCAGTCAACAATACACCTTGCCCTGACCAGATAGCTCAGTTGGATAGAGCATCATCGTGATACAAAGTTATGATTTTGATCCCCAGTTAGAGCACATACAAGAATCAACCAATAAATGCATAAATAAGTAGAACAACAAGACTCTCTCTCTCTCTCTCTCTCTCTCTCTCTCTCTCTCTCTCTCTCTCTCTCTCTCTCCCCCATCTCTCTCATCAATAAAAATTTTAAATTAAAAATAAAATAAATGTTAAAACTTACTACTACAAAGCTACAGTAATCAGAACAGCATAGTACTAGCATAAGGAATGGAACAGAACTGAGAGCCCAGAAATAAACCCATTCATCTATTGATTTGCACCAAGGGTAACAAGACCATTAAATGGAAGGAAGAATAGACTGTTCAACAAATGGTGCTGGGATAACTGGACAGCCATATGCAAAATAATGAAGTTATGTAGACCATATTTCACACCATATATAAATAACTCAAAATGGATTAGGGACCTAAATATAAGAGCTAAAAGTCTTAGAAGAAAACATCCAGGTAAACCTTCATGATTAGATTTGACAATGGTTTCTTAGACATGACACAAAAGCATAAGTACCAAAAGACAAAAAAGGAATAAATTAAACCTTATAAAAATGTTTAAAATTTTGACCAATTTTGTTCTCTTGAATAGAGTTTAAAGACAACTCACAGAATAGGAGGAAATACTTGCAAATTATATAACTGGTAAGAGTCTACTATCCAGAA